GAGAGGGTGGTGTACTAAGCAATCCTTATGGTTAAAATTGCTGTAGGGTTTTTCTCTCTGAGAAAGAAAATGCTTGTTAGGTACATGTTATCTGAAAGAAATGTTGCCAAATCATTCTCACACCTAAACTTTCTCCACATAAAGAAATGTAACTCTCAGCATTTCCCAAGATGATATTCAAGGTTGTCTGTATACATTAAAAATAATAAATACATATCAATATTTCATGATATCTGCAGTCTTAGTAGCAGTTTTGTAAAGTATATGACAAGCCACAAATGGTTTCTTCCTTCTTTTAGAGCAACCAGGCACAACTATTTAGAGCGTTTTTGGTTTTGAATCCAAGGTCTAGCATTTTTTAGCTCAGCTGACATTAAGAATAGATAGTACAGTTGTCAATATGCACTAAATTTGGGGGCTATTTAAAGATTGCCATGAGAACGTGTTGTGAATATATTAAGCTTTAGCCCTTAAATGCAAATGTCTATTAGCAGGGAAAATTCTAAAGGGTATCTATTTTTTCTTTGGCTTAAAACATTCCTGTGAATAGAAGAATATTCTTATTGTAGCAGATGACATTTTGATTTGTATTTGTCTTGCTTCAGTAGCTTCCTTTGTATTTATTTTGGCTTTGTGATTTCAAAAGTGGGGAGAGCTTTAATGCGTCCCCTCTCTCCATGATGATACTTGGCAATGCTGAGAAGTCAGATTGTGATTGTATTAATTACCTTCATTATTTATAAAGTCAATGTCCTATTTTAACATTGATTAAAAATAAGCAGCATAATTAAAAAAAAAATCTTCCTGAGTGACATTTCTTTTTATCTTCAAACTTTATACAGCGTATGCATGTGTGTACATATAAATGAATATTATATGAGTATTAGCATATCTTTTCTCTTAAATTCTTTGTCTATTGTTTTCTAGTTTCTAATTTCTATGAATTTGTGGGTGAGAGTAAAATTGGTATGTTGCAAAATGTGTTCTCTTTTCATCTTGTTAAGCCAGATACAGATTATAATACTTCTAATTTGAATGTTTATTTCAAATATGATTATTTCACCTCCCTGATTAAACTTGCAGTTAACTTTTCAAGGGTTTTATTCTGAGACTAATACCCTTAGCCAGTCATACAAGACGGACCGCTGTACATCTGCAGTCTCATTTCATACCATGCTGAGCTTTGCCATGTGTATTTCATCTCTTTAGTCTTCTTTCTGTTCATGCAACCCAAGACCAAGAACATACCATGAGCACCTAAGCCACAGGGCCTTTGCGTATTCTATTTGCTATGCCCAGAGGTGATTGTTAAAATATTTAACCAGCAGTAGGGCATGCATACTGATCAATCCAAAGTGACATGGGCTAGAGCGGGATTCTGGAAGCCCTCTGCTGAGCCTTTTGCTTGGCTCCAGAGAGGTGTGGTGGGGTCCTGGGACAGCATGGAGATAAGTAGTAGTTGATGGGGGAGTAGTGTCCAGACATTAGCTACTCACAAGCCTATCTGCCACCTCATAAATCCACACCAAGTACTTGTCTACACTAGGGACATTTCTTCCTTCCCTCACTCTGCAGCACATACACACACCTCATTATGTCATCTCTTCTTTTCTTCCTCTGTACCCCACTTCCTCAGAGAAGTTTTCCCTAACCTTCCTGATGAGGAATGCTTTCATTTAGGTAGATGTCTTAGAAACATCTACCCCTCCACTGTGTGTACCTTTCACGTGGGCAATTTATAAATACCCCGCACTCATTTAAACAAGGTGTCACTCGCAATAGTTGATGCACTCCATGAGTATGGGGATGATCGGTCTCCTGACAATCCCATCATCACCTCCACCTCCCTCTAGAATTGTAATCCCAGCACCTGAGAGGTACTCAATACATTTTTATTGAATGAATGAGTTTTCAAAAATAATTTAGAGCATCTTGCAACACATTTATATGTTTTAAATATAATCAGTGTACATGTTATCTTGGGAATGGATTGTTGGCAAGATAACGTTTTTTGAAAACAATCACCTTCTTTTATGCCTTCTTATACACTTTCCTGAAGTAATTTTCAAATGGTGGCCAAATCCCATGCTGTGACTTATCCTTTAGTTCCAGTAGAAATGCTTTTCACTTGCTTGATGTCCAGTGCAAAGATTTAATCTCCCGAGTGACTCATTCATTGTTCTTAAAGCTCAGCAAGAAACATTGCTTGAAAGCCTCCTGTGAAAGGGTATTTGGAACATTAGAGAAACCAGCGATGGGTAAATGGTGGTTCTACCTTCAGAGTTTTATCCATCAATCTAGTAATTTACTCCTTATCTTATTTATAAGAGTTTATAATATTCTCTTTTCCCATTACAGTATTAGGACGCAGACCATGTATTATTTTTTTCCAAATGACATAGGACAGAGCTTCATATATTTACTTGAATAGTTTTTGATATTAAAGATGAGGATGATAATGGCAAGGTTACTGCACAATTCTTTGCTAGAGTTTCCCCTTCCTTTCCTGAAATTCCCAACTACCTGTTCTTTTTAAGTCTGTTATTCTGTTATTGCCGAATTCTTTCTAAGTTAGATTTTGTGTATGTACTGGATAGCTATAACTTCTTTGAGGAAGGAAGTACCAATTCAATCAACGTACTCCTCAAGACTTTGCAGTGGTCGAGTCTTACCCATTGTCCCTAGACTTTAGTGCATGTTACTATCATTTCCTAGTTTCTCATGAGTCTTAGACATGTATATGTATCAAATTAACATATCTCATGTTTCACATGCCTTTTATGACTAGTTAACATTGCATTTTATTTGATAATTTAAAATATTATTGGTTTTCCAGTCTATCTGTCTATATGTGTATGCATGTTTATGTGTGTTTCATCTTTCTCCTGATTTTTGGACCACAGTTTCCTCAAATGCATGATTAGAAAAAAACTATGGCTGTCAGTTATAAATTAAATCTAATCTAGAATGATTTCAGTTATCATTTAAATTAGTAATTGAAACTAATTATGGACACAGGATATGTCATTGATTGAGCAGAAGAAGGAGGAAGGCAAGATACCTGAGTCCCCTTGGTCCAAGCAGGGAAAATCAACCACTGGAAAAGCTTGAGCAGTATAATGATTGATTGAGGTGGAATGTGTATTTCTCCCTCGTATATTTAAATTACTCAATAATTTTGGCCATCAATCACTTGGGACCTGATGCTGTTAAAAATAACTTCAAAAAGCCTGTTTTCTATGCACAGTGTAGCAGACACTACATGTGCCCTACTCATCCTCTTGCCTTCATCACTTCAGTGCACACACCACTTTTAATAGCTAGTATATGCATTTCTTTCCTTTTTCTTTTTTTCACCTCTGTAGTTATTTACTGCCCTAGTAGGAGGTTACAAGTACTGGGCAGTTACTACTGTCATGGGAATTGGTGTGTAAATACCCCAGCTGCCTTGCCCCTTTGCAAGAATAACTCAGAGATGACTCTTGGATGACTCTTAGGCCTGGGTTCTATAGGAACTGGACTTCCAGTCATCCATGGTGTTAGTAGGCTTTATATTTCACCCTGTCTAGGCTGTCTTTCTTTTCCTGTCTTACTTCCCCATCTTGACTGTTTTTGTCCTTTGCTTCCCAAGTAAATTACTTGCACTTGAATTCATTTTTTCTTATTTGGGTTGTGGAACCCAAACTGAGACATGCAGTTTGCAGCAGTGGGGATATTGAGTGAAGGTTAAAGATCAATGGTACTATTGTAAGTTGTTAACCTGCAATTCTTAGAACAGCAGTTCTCAATTGTATTTGCACTTGTTTCAGATTCCAGTGGACCTAGAGAGAATGATGCCTAGGCATTCTAGCCACAATTCCATCTTTTACATCCTACCTAAGAGTATATATTAGATTGCAGGCACCCAAGAGCATTATTATAGGAATGATGACTTAACATATTATTTTAAGTACGTATTTTTCAAGTTGTCATATTTTTATTATTTGATTTCTTATTATTTGGGATGTACATAATATCTGATTGCATACGCCACATGTCAGGAACCCATTTTTGGGAACCACTGTCTACAGGAGGCTGAGTTCTCTCTTTGGGTCATTGACAACTAAAACAGCTCAATCAGTAGCAGCTGCTGAATCAGAGAGTTGTACCTGTTCCTCACTAAAGTAACAAACTTTAAAATCATTAATTCCGTGTGTGGTACCAACTGAATTTTAGGAGTCCAGAGATTCAGGTGTGTGTATCACATGTACTTGATCATTAACTATGCAGCTTAACTAGTTTTAAGTGGCCACTCAAAATGACACAAGACTTTCACATAATTATTTCCTCTCAACCAATATATTCAAGTTTATGAAAATTAAAGAAAGCAAAAAAGAAAATGGTTTCATTTGCAAGGTTCTCAGACTGAACATTTTCTACCGTTAGCATTTTAAAATCTGTTTTACACAGCATATGTAATTGGGAACTTTCTGCAGTTGTCTTAAAAAATAGGTCTGAGATGGACATTGATAATGCTATCTATAATTTGCATGCTTTATTAGGAATTCAGAAACTGCAAAAATCAGTGCTTCAAGATATCTGCTTATTTGACTCTGTTGGTTTTGCCAGAATGCTATCGTTAGAGAAAATTGAATAAGTTAGAATTTTAGGTTAATGTTTTCTTTCTTGAAATTATCTGGCAAAAGTTTTAATAATATATTAAAATTTAATATTTTAGTATTGGTAAACATTTCAAATTCTATAAGATCGTTTCCATCTACCTATGAGTTACATGTTTTTTAAGTATCTACATTTCAAGCATCCTCTATTTCGTATCAAAACAGATTTGTTTTATCTGAGGGTTTCAGTGTCTCCAAATGATAAAGAGTTTTTATGAAAAGAGCAAAATTGCTTTTTAAAAGCAGCTTTTTTAAAAGCTAACTTCTTTGTACATATATTTTACAGATTAAAGGATTTACCTGAAGACAAAGCATTCTATTCATCAGAGACTGGACAAGAGTTACTCTTGCATTTGGCAATTAAAGATGATGTTTCCATGGAAACAGTTGATCCTGCTTTCATTCATTGGCTGCTTGGGAGGTAAAAATCCTGTATTTTCTAAGTTGAGGTTAGAAGTATACTCGAGTCATATGCTTGCATAATTTTCAGGTGTTGAAATAAAACTCCAAATAAAACTCCACCAATAGCAAAGAAAAACAAATGCTTTTTCCCCCCCAAAAGGAAAATTTAAATTCTCTAATCTGATAATTGGGTTCTTATTCCTTCCCTTATTTTTGTAAGCCATTTTTATTTCCATAGCAAATATAATGACATCTGATAGTACAGATCTACTTATATTATGCTTTGGTATTATGAATATAACATCAAATTTGAGCATGTTAATTTGTGACTTTTTTTTCCAAAGAGACTTAAAGAGGCGAGATCTCACATATAAAGGAGCATATAAATTTAAAAAGTGCTGGTATTTTCATATGTTTTACTTTTAGCAAATAACTTATCTAAAGGACTAAAACTGAATATATATAATTTTCTTTTTTAATTTTGGAAAATTTGAAATTTAGAACAAAGTAGAAAGAAAAAATGAAAAAAATTCTCATCTTTGACACATACAAAACAACTATTACAAATCATTTGTGGTATTTTATTTTGTTAATTTTATTTTACTTTCTGGAGAAACAAGTGAAAAGTTTTTTTAAAAATAATGTATATACAACTAACTTTTTGTTTATTTTATTTTGTTTTTCCTCTTTTTATGATATTCTCAAGCACCAAAAAAGCTGAAACAATAATAGAATGAATGAATACATCTGTAGATATCATTGAGATGTAGTTATTGTACCATTTTACTGTATTTCTTCTGTATATATGTGTATGAATGTGTGTTTTTTCCTTTTTTTTTAAATCTATGTGCTTATTTTGGTTAACACATTTGAAAGTAAGTTATAAAAATCATCACTCCTAAAATTCAGTACTCGTCTCCTTAGAAGACCACTTTTCTACATAAACATAATTTCTTCATGATACCTAAGGAACCTAACAAAAAAGTAGCTCGAGACTTTTCTAAAAGAAGAAAATGAGTGCGGAATGAGGCCAAATGGAGTAGTCAGGTAAAACACATGTTATTTAAAGACATGAATAGATTGGAGTAGACTTTTGGGCTCTTATGTCAAAGTTCAAACATGCTTCAAATATTTACATGATAATATATAGCAAAGATCCATAGTCAATAATAGTTACAGATTAAAATCTTTAACTTTTAAAAGAAAGATGTTTTTATAGTTTTTATAGATTTTTACTGTGATGCTTCAATTTTGTTTCTAAAACATTTTCATTGACTGCTACTCATCTAGCACTGAGGACAAAAGGAATAGTTGTTTAAAAATTTCTGACTTTCAAATGGGCTTTGGAAAAAGTTCAATATAGTAAAATATTTTATTCTTGGAATCTTGTCTTCATTTATAAAGTTTCAAATATAATCTCTGTTTTAGGAAAAGGAACAAAAGTGACAGAAAATATACTGCAGCAGTATTACTGTTTATGATATTAAATTTTGTAAAAGCAATCTTGAAATTTTCCAAATAGTTGAGGAGACATTCACAGAAAGACATACTCAGAAGGAGGAAGACATACTGAGAAAGTAGAAAGGTAGCAAAAGAAAATGAGATCAGCTTTTGAAAAGTTTCACATTTTTAGTTGTAATTTTCCATTATGTTCAAATTGTATTGTGTTTCAGCATTTTTGCGAAATGTTTTACATATTTATGAACAAATATATGGAAAAAGCAGTGTCCCCTTTAGTAAGATGTGAAGACATCATAAAGAATTTAAAGGTCAACTTATTCTCTAGATATGGTGGTAAAAACGTTATAAGGATTTGTAAGGGAGAATTGAATTTACATGTGGCAAATTTATGTAATTATATGTATTTGCACATATATGTACATATGTTTCCCTGTGTGTAATTATACACGTAATTATATGTAATATATTGACCCCTGAACTATATATTTGCCTCTTTAGGGAGTTAGAAAGGCAATAGAGGCCTATGTCCATATAAATATACACTTAAACCTATTATAATTGAGACTACAGATCACACTATATGAGATAATATAGATTACCTTCATGAAATCGTTTTTTAAAAATTATCAATACTATAATGAAGGATAAAATACATGGTCACCAAACAGGAACATTGGCTTACTTTAATATTGTAGATTTAGTCATGGACAACACATGTCCACAAAATTCACATATTTGAGCTGCTTGTTTTCACAATGATAGTTGCAATGTATGCAGATACAGCCCAAGACTACTGACACACATCTTCAAATGCTTTCAATCATAGCATTCATCCGTTCTATGTCATGCAAATGTAAATGAATTTTTGTACTAGTCTTTCCTTAATAGTGATTAAGGAATGCTCTGAAAGCAAAATAAACTTTTCAGGTTCTTCCTGAAATGATTGAGGAGTATTTTTCATTTGGTGGTTTTAATAACACCACTATTATAATCACTGAGAAAATGATCAGCAATGCCTCTGGACTGCATTTAATCTCAAAGCAGATTTGGAACTTTGTGAGTTTGTGGTGTTGGATGTGGCACTTCGAGTAAGCAATTGCCACAAACTCAACTGGCTGTCATTTCTTCTGTAGTATTTGTACACAGTGTGATATGATTTGATAGCATTGATACTGGTGGAATGGAGATGTCACTGATCCCTGCTTATAAATCTTGACATCCTCCATGTTTTTACAGATAAACTTATTTCAAATTATCCCTTCTATTGCAGCAGACTAAATCTTGAATTGCTTTTCATTTATACCATTTAAATCTTGACAGTTTATCAGAGTATGCATGTGAGAATCAGTAAAAGATGCAAACCTTGTTGGTGTATTTTATTCTTATAACCTTGATCATTGATAACTCCACATATTGGATATTTTGTAAGCTTCATGGTGACTAAGAAGGCATATGTGGAACTTAAAAGAAATTACATTGCAAGTGCTATTAGAGTTCAACAAACATATAAGTTTAGATACAACCCACAATTTTATTTAGTTCTTAAAATAGCAGTCTCAAAAGTATCTGTTGATTAGTTAACTGACTCCTGCAAATAAAGTGCTCACTCAGATGAATTTAATTGACTGTTGCCTAAGTGTTAAGCTGTCTTAAAGTACTCATCCCATAAAAGTGTTTTTAAATACCCCTGAGCAGGAAGTCTGTTGAAAGCAAAAGAGTGGAAACTGGTATGTTCACAGGGGGTGGGTATCATTGCAGGAGATCAAGACAGGGAGGTGTTTGCCTAGTGACAGCAACCAAGGAGAAGGTTTAGGGATGAAGTATGGAGAGTTAAATGAAAGGAGGCATGCCAGAACCCAGGGTGAAGGGGGAGAGCTTACAAAAGATTGAACAGAGATGTGGAAGGATCTCTAGTGCAGCGGGATATCATGGAAACTGAGGAAGCAGTTCAAGAAAAGGGAGAGGTGGAAGAAGAGGATGTCTGAGGAAAAGCCAATGAGGCTTGTGAATAGGAAGCCTTGAATTACTGGAATGTAGGGCTTTAAGCGGGGAAGAAAATATATGAAGGTCCATAATACTTTGATAAAACTGAATTATACTTACTTACATGTACGTATGTATACAGTTGACCCTAGCACAATATGGGTGTTAAGTGTTACTGAACGGACAGTTCAGTAACTAACTGTCTGCTTTCCTGGTGCAGTAAAGCCAAATATCCACACCAAGGCTTTGTGGTGGGAGAAAGGAGAGTGTTTATTTGCAGGCAGCCAAGCAAGGAGCATTGGGCACCTCACACTTAAGACCTGACCTCCTCAGTGGCTGATAAGCAAGAGTTTTTAAAGGTAGCAATAAATTTCAGAAAAGCAGAAGTTACAGGCCAGATCGGAAATCAGTACATGCAGGTTATACATTGGTTTTGGCCTAAAAAGCCGAGTATCTTGAAGCAAGAAGAGAGGGAGGTTACAGTCCCTCTCCTAGATGGATTCTGGCTCTCTGATTTGAGTTTGGTCAGGAAAGGGAAGCCTTGTCTAAAAACTTGGAGTCAGCAGAAAGGAGTGTTAAGTTCTGGCGTGTGGGCATGACTTCCTCTGGGGCTCTCAGGAAGAAATTTAGAACAAGGAAGTGTGATCAGGGTTCCAGTCCTCATTTCCCCCTTATCTGAGGTTGTATGCCAGAGGGTCCATTTGATAAAGGTCCTTGTTACTGAAAAACAGCTCAAGGACATATATTAAGATGTTGCCTTTAGTTTCTAGAGGAGCCAGACATATTGTGACTCCAACTTCCTTGGCTATTGTTTTAAGCTATTACTATGTTCTTACTTAGCAAGTTGCTCATTTACTTCTCAGGGCTAGCTCAGTGCCTGGAATTTCCCTTGAAGAAACTCAAGATTTTTCTTTACTTCTATTCTTGGAAAGGCTTGGCAGGACCCTAAAAAGGATCTCTGCCCCATCTCAGTAGGTGTGTTGACCATCCCTCCAAGTAGGAAAATCTGCGTATAAGTTTTAACTCCAAAACTTAACTATTATACTTAGAGCCGACTGTTGACCAGAAGTCTTACCAATGAAATAGTTAACACATATTTGGTATGTTATATGTATTATATCCTGTATTCTTACAGTGAAGTAAGCTAGAAAAAAGACAATGTTATTAAGAAAATCAAAAGGAAGAGAAAATGTAGTTACTATTCATTAAGTGGAAGTGGATCATCCTAAAGGTCTTCATGCTGATCGTGTTCACATTGAGTAGACTGGGGAGGAAGAAGAAGAGGGGGTGTTGCTCTTGCTGTCTCGGGTGGCAGAGGCAAAAGAAAATCCATGCAAATGTGGACTTGTGCGATTGAAAGCTGTGTAGTTCAGAAGTCAACAGTATTTATGTGCATATCTGTGTGCATTCCAGGCCTGCTCATGTTGTAGATGACACAGTGGGGTCTAGAGCATTTCAGGTACTTGTTCAAAGTCACATAGCTTGTTATTGACTCAGTAGGGCTTTTTCTAGACTGCCAGAATTTTCATCTAGGGGGTTTTCAGCTGCACTAAGCCGTTTATCAGTACGGTGTGT